AAAAAAAAAAAAAAAAGAAGAAATTACCCTGTTTCGACCAGTCTGGTTATCGTAATAACCGGAAACTTCATTTACATTCAATGGAACATACTCAGAGTGATAAATATAATTCGAAACTATATATATTTTAACGTTACATACATACAATTTCGTATATTAGGTTATTCAAAAAGTTTGTAGCGTTTTTAATGGTCAAAATACAATATTCCATTGCATATTGTTAGTACTCGTTATACGTCTATTATTAACTAGGTGCCAATTTAGAAATTACTGACTATTTTCTTTCATCCATTCATTTCTTGAATATATCGAAGATGAAAGTAAAAAACAACAAGTGTGAATAAAATAGAGAGAAAGATTCCTTTTCTTACTTGCGATGCTATTGGAGATCCCAAAGGGGCTCGGGACAGATCGGAAAAATTCGGGTGAGCTCGGCTAATTCCTTCGAACTCGATTATTTGAAATACAATGAATATATTCGATATATTAATATTACAAATATTCGATATATCGAAAGCATACGTGTTATATATTGTTTTTCCCGCAAACTTTTTAATTTTAAAATTAAAAATGAAAATGAGAAAATGATAAAATATTTACCAATAGACAGCTTTCTATTTGTTCTTAAGTTTTACTCTTAGGAATATTACGTAATAGACAGGGAGCAGTGTCGTGTTAGTCACAATGACTTCGAGTCGCGATCTACGATCTTTTCTGGAGATATAATCGTGCATTATGTACTTTGCTACACGTAGATCGATATTTTACATAGTCGTGAGTTGGGAAAAATTGCAGTTTGTATTTCTTTTCTGAATTCTAGATAAATCCTGTTCTATTACACTGCAATCTATTATTTAGTTCTAGACATGATACTAGAAACCTGTTTCAAGTATTAGGGAATTTGAAAGTGTCCAATTTGTACGTTTGTATGTATTGAAATATTATTTATTAATAATAATATTATTATTACATTACGAACAATTAAATGGAAAAATAAAAAGTAGAAAAATGTAAGAATGGAAGACAAAAGAAAGCTTTTTATGAAAAAAATGCATACAATTAAAAAGTACAAGAAATAAAAATAAATAAAACAATAAATAATTGAATTATATTTAAACTATTATTGTTAATAGATAAGCTTAAATAAATAAACAAAGAATAATAAAATTCAAGTACAAAAAACAGAAATCAAATTAAACACAACAGCAATTATATATAATAATTAAGAAACTAATTTTCCTCATATTAAAACATTATGTTCAATTTCATAATTATGTGATCCAATGCTTTAGCACCATAAAATAAAAAATTTCGCATGATCCTATGAACGTTACGCTTTTATGAAGGTCGAACACTATCTCTCCAAGAGTATGTATAAAAATGGTATTTCCTATTGGAACAATGGCCGCTTTATTTTTGTCACTTCCCATGGATTTCACCTATTTGTCGACCAAAATTCTCATTTTCGTCTAAATAATTGAGTCATTGATGACTCGATTCATGAATCTAAATAGATGAAAGTGATCAAGGACGGAACAAAACGGAAAAAAGGAAGGATCCACTGAAATTAATGTCATTGATGATCGAGAGTATGCAAACTGGTTTTCGTTGAAAACGATCATGCGACATCGAAATGCTTTCATCCTCGGTAGCCTGCAAATTAAATGGTGCTTTTCCTGGTAATCATGGGCAATAATAATAGCAACACTTTCACTTGTATCTCTTGTAAACTTTTTGACTTGGGAACGTGTATTCCCGAGATTTTATCGGAATTCTCAGTACTTTTAATTGTTCACGTGGAAAAGTTTAATTACATTCCTGTTTCGGTCGTTTCAATGGTTTCCAAATAAAATTATTTTTCCGTTTTTGACGAGAAATATCGAAGTTATTTATCTTGATAAAACTTTGAACACGCAATGAAAAATACATAATATTAATAATGGATTCTAGGGAACTCTAGAAAAATCTAGGGAACTTAATATTTAAATACTTTAGGAAATAAAAGAGATTTTGTTTAATTTATTTTTTCTGATATTTTTTATAATATAAAAAGTAAAAAATTTAATTTTTGATAATTTGATTTACAAGAAAATTGTTTATATAAAAAAATTTTAAAAATGTTTTGTTTTAATTAATTTAAATAATAATGTGTGTATCTAAATAAAAGAAAAATCCAATTAAACTTAATTAATCGAGATAAATGAAACAAATGTATATATGTATGTAAAGTTGGTAATTTCAAATTTTTATATAGAATTTCATTGAGAAATTCATCATTATTCGTATTCAATTCTATAGTTTACTATTTAAAATCGAAAGTCATTCACATGGTCGACGTTGATCAAGATTATTGCATGATTTTCCTATGATACTATGTATTCACGTTACTTCTATTGTTACTATTCAATTAACGTCAAAATTGTAAGAAAGGAATATTAACATAATCTTAGTGATAAATAATTTTTTTCTATTTTTCTTTTTTTTATATAAATTGATGGTTTTTAAACATTTTAAAAATGTTTTCAATGAAGAACAGTAAATTGAAAGTTACATTATAGATTTTCTGCTGAATGCAATTGAGAATAAAATACGCCGTGAAAAAATTTTTCAAGGCGATTTAAATCGGTATATGATTAATTATTAAAAAATTAATTGGATTTTTATTATTATCAATTGGAAGTGATTGATTATTCTCATTGATCGTGGGAAGATGTTCTTTTCAACTTGATTTCTTCATTCATAAAAAAAGTGAATGAAAATTATAAAGATGATACATGAGACGTCAATTAATTTGTGAATACATTTATATGATTAAATTATATAAAGATGAAGATATGGCCTTTATTATATTTATTAACATTTTCTAACAATATTGATATTTATTTTTTAAATATTTTAATTCTAATTCCATTAACAAGAACTTTTATTTGATTTGAAATTTAAATTAATCTGATTTTAGGGAATTCTAGGATAGTCTAGGGGACTCTATCTTAAGAAATAAAAAGAATTCTATTTAACCTAATTTAAACTTGTAAGGAATTTTAATGCAGAAGTTTTCAATGCAAATATTTCACTTTGAATACAATGATTTATTATGAAATCTATGTTTTTTAAACGTATAATAAAATCCTGTCAGACAGTACCTGTGAAGATCAACCGATATGATATCACATGTAAGAGTTCGATGACAAAACTCTTTTAATTCCTGCGATCGTTAAACCATTCTTAATATTTATTATCGTTATCATGTTTATTATTATATCGTATTATATTCTTCTTTTTGAAATTGAAATTGAAATTGAAATCTCTTCGAAAAAAAAACAAAGATAAAAAAGAAAAAGAAAAAAAATAAAAATCAATTCTTTGTCATTCGTAGATGTCAACAAGAAGATTTCCATTTTTGTTTCATACAAATAAAATAAAAAATAATCTTTATAGCGCATTATGGAAGAGTCTTCTTCAAGATTTCTTGTTATTGAATGGATTCTGACGCAATTTTTCGAGAACTTGAATGAAACACCCCACAATGGTCATTTTTTTTCTTTTTCTTTCTTTTTGTTAAGAAAAAAAGATCAGGTTCTTGCGGAGATCATTGACAAAGATTTAGAGTTTCGTGCCAGTGAAAGAGTAATTGGGCTAATATTTCGAATTCATCGTGGATTTTGGATTAAAAGAACACATCTTAGTCTGTGTTTGTCTGTGAAAAAAATAAAAGATTAATTTGCAAAACAGGCAATTATCTACCATTTTCCCTTTAACTATGTTGTAAACCAGTAATGTATCCTCATTAATACAAATTCTTATTTTTGAAGAAGGATGATTTATCATTTATCATTCTTGTTTGTGAAAAATAATCTTATCAATCGTTAAAATCTTTTGCCAATTTTTAAAAATTTATATTAAATTTATATTAAAATTTTTAGAAGAAATTAAAAGATTTTTTAATAAAAATCTACAGAAATAATTTTAAAATTATTATCCAATAAAAAAAATTATAAAAAAGAAAAAAAAATAAAATGCTTCATTTTAATATTTTAAAAGAGAAATATTTCGTTTTTTATTTTTTTATACTTTTATAAATTTGCAAAATTCAATAATTAGCAATAACAAAATATTAAAAAAATATCGTTACTATAAAAAACAATTTTTTTAGGATAGCTAATAAACGTTGTAAATTTAGGAGGAATGCATGAAATATGAGAATCGTTGGGCCTGGTCAGATCCAGTTATGTTGATTTTACCAAACTTTAGTTATTGATTCCTGGAAACCGTGTACATTCACCGAAATAAAAGATTCACAAATTATTGCGAAATGAATTTTTTGCTAGTCTCGCAGACGGTTAATTAAAAATACGTATTCATTCATCAGAAAAGAAGAATGGCTATTGTCAAACCGATCTTATAGTTAACCATATCAGTCGAAGATATAAATTGAGAATATATTTCAAAAATAAACTCTATTAAGAAAAATTAAGAAAAATTAATATAATTTGATAAATGAATGATTTTCATTTATCAAATAATGCGACAAAATAAAGGAAAACAATAATTTTTCATTATTAAATGAAGATAATGAAAAGTAAATCAAAACTGTAAAATATTACATTGTCTAAAAAATTATTTATATCGATCTGAAACATTGAAACAAATATTTATACACAAAAATATTGTATTATTTTTGCTACTTTTGATACTTGTTAGGTTATGTCACGATTCTATATAAAAATAATTTTTTAATACAAATACAACTATACTATATACATTATTCAAAGACAGCTCAATCCCTATTTTTATTAAATCCTAATTTCATCACTTTATTTACCGTTGTGATTTATTTTATTATGCAATTTTATTAACGTAAATGACACGTCGTTCGTAGTTTCTGGTTCAACGTAGATCATCGTAACATTAATTGCAGTTTGTAAATGCCACCTAGTAGCGTTTTTAAGAAGTTACAGAGATGAACCGAAGTAAAGGGCAACTAGTTTTATCGCGTTCCGCAGTCAGGTTAAAATGGCAGAAAACGATCGGAGAATCGATTGCGAAAAATAATATCTCATAGAGTTATACATGTATTAAGATAGATTGGCAAATGGAATAAATATTATTATGGTACGTATTAAGAATCGTTTTACTTTCTTCTCATCTCAAATATGCCTGAATAGCAGGAAGCGATGGAAAGTTGTTGCGACGTCACCAGGCGAAACTTTAAAAGTGATTCACTGTATATTGCTCGTTCGGTTTATAGGTGTTTAGGAGCTTGGAAAGAATATTTGAGTGAAATTGTGGCGGGAAACGTGATAGTTGTGCGCACGAGAAATTTTGTTACTTTTACTTGAATATCAGTCGAAGACTTCATCGTGACGCGGAAATTGGAACGTGTTAGGTTAAGACTACGTAATTGTGATTGAAGCAAAGTTTAAATTTGACGATATTCTTACTATTGTCTCGCGAATAATTTCTAAAAATAGTAGTTAATCCACGAGTTGCAGGTTGTAGATTATAAGTTATAAACGTCACTTTTAAGCCAAATATGATAATCTAGTAATGAATTGACAAGTCAGAATTTGTAGGTTATAAATGTGCCTTATAATTTTAAGTCAAATTAACCAATATATATTCAGCAATCGTAATACAACTAACCCATGCAAAATAAATTTCTTTTATAATTTACAAAATTTTTCCTTTCAATATTTATTTAAATATCATCAAATGATAAAATATATACTATACAAAAATAATATTATAAATATATACTATAAAATTAAAGATTTCATTTGTAACAGTAATAGATTTATAGTTATATAAATATAAATGTACAAAAATCAATTGCTTGAACTTAAGGTTGCCCGATCACTTTCTTTACAGTTTGATTGCTCGTATCTAGGAGGAAGTAACGAGAAGCCGTTTCTTCCGGTTAGAAGACTGGTCGAGACGAATCGACTAGCAAGAGAGATCACAAAGTATGACCACAAGCTCTCTTATCTTAGAGCGTGTTGCAATTAAGTTGTTTATTTCATGGACACGTCTATATTATTTTTTTTTCATATTTCTATAAGCAATTACATTTATTAGAGTCAAAAGTAATTTCCGGATTTTCTGTGATTATTCAATTAAACAAATTATTGTGATCTGATTTTTTCATTTATATATGTATCACTTATATTTATTATACTTGTACTTTCTTTTTTGTATTTCTTATATTGTATATATATTATAAATATTGTAAATAAATATTATTACTACAAATTGTGCTTAATTATCTTATCTAATGGTTTTAGATAATTATCAAAATGTTAATTTATCAAAAAATTAAATTATTGTAACATTTGATAATTAATAATAATTATATATAATATAATAATAATATATAATAACAAAATTATGTGTAAAACTAAATAACGTGAATTCAATTTAAATTAGATCATCAATCATTGTTACTTTCGTTATAAGATTATTTATTGCAGATGAATTATCTTTATATATTTATCATCGTAATTGATGTTGTACTCGATCTTCAGAATTCGCACATTTCTCATATTAATTGAATGGTTTCTCGATTTCACATATAAAGAAAAAGTCTATGTATTTTTTCTGGTACCTATGATTTATTTCACACCTTTATACTGGTTAAATCGAATTCTAATTATTGAAACTTTGCATGTCAATTAGTGATATCTCGCAGAAAATTTCTCAATTCTGCGTTAACTTCTTTGTGTTAATTAATCAAGGATAATTGAATATTTGCAACAACATGTGAAATGTTAAAAATTATCAGACAAAATTATAAAAATTACGATAGCTGAAGAATATTTATTAGAAAAAATATTTATAATATTTATTATATTTATTAGAAAAAATTATTTTCGTTTTGAAATAAAACGAAATATTAAAAAGAAATATTAAAAAAATTCGATTAGAATTGAAAGTAACAATGAAAAATACAATAAAGAATGATTTATTTTTAAATTAAGTCGAAAATAAGTAGAATAAAATTTTTTTACATCGAGTCTCATTATTTGAGAAAATGTGCGAATATATGTGCTAATATTTGATCTTGAATTATGTACGAATTTTGAAATTCAATTTTCTCGAAAAAGAATCTTCAAATGAAAAAATATTATTCTATTTTTTAACTTATTTTTATACGAAGAATCAATTTCATTCATGTCTAAACACGATATGTTCTATTATTAAATTAATGTTCCAATTTAAATGCATTAATTTGATTAAAGGAAAATCTATAATCTATATTCTAAAATATAATATAAAAAATGTAATATAGTAGCAAGTTTCTGAAACAATAAAATTAATTTCCACTGACCTTTTATCTCGATTTACCGAGATAAATTAATTCCCATCCTTGATTTAGCCATGTATTCTTTTTAAATACATTCGTCTGTAAAACGAGATATATAGCTTCTTTATTGTGGACAACGATGTGAAATCGATGGTAATCGATCGAATGTGAAAAACAAAAAATTAATTATCATCAACCTTGAAAGAAGCGCATTATTATTAAATTGGAATTATTTCTTGCTCGATGGATAAGAGAAGATTCGAGTTAATTTGTTACTCAGAAAATTGAAAAACGGAAATATTATTCTAAAATTTCTATTTTTAAGATAAAAATAAAAACTGGTGTTGCCCATTTAACTTCCAAAAAAAAAAAAAAAAATAATCTTGGAGAATAATAGTTATTAATTGTAAATTTTTTATTGTATTTGTTCTTAAAAAATTATTATTAAAGGAATAAAAATTTATTCCTTCTCGATCAAACTTGCTTTTCAATTTGATTTATATATTTGAGTTTATATAGTATAAGCTAATCTATCATTGTCTAACTTATAATTAAGAGATATCTGATCTAAACTAAATAAAATAAAAAATTTTTTTCATCTCCTGAATACTAACTTTTCTGCAAATGTAATTTTTCTTCTGAATATTCAATCTGAATGAGAAATGATACTATTTAGTGTCGTGAAATTTTTGTTTATCGATTAATTTTGAGTCAGCATTTAGAATTTTGTCTCAAGTTACATCAAGATTTAGACATCATAGAATCTTGTTACATCTAAGATTTCACGATGTTTTACTGTTAATTGATACATGTTCATCAATTACTTCATAATTGTAAATTATTACGAAATTCATTAATTAAAAATATTTCTTTTCTGGTTATATCAAACAATTAGTAATAATTAATCAAATGTTTTTCATCATATTTCTTTTATATAATTTTCAATTATCAATTTTTTAATTAATTATCAAAATCAAGATTCCATATTTTTCTATATTTTTATTTCTAAGTTTTTATCTTTCAAGTAATTTTATATAAACATAAACACTTCTATTAATATTCATTGTGTAACTCAAAGATCATGCTCAAAGACTACAAAAACTTAATTCTTCATTTTATCTTAGATTAACAAATACACTGTCATCTCAAGTTGCACCACCATTTTGTTTTCCAATAAAGATTCAATCTTGTCTATGAGACAGGAGGCGAAAAACATCATCTACCTGTCATTAATTCTGTTCCTATTTGGCGTGCCTCATGGGCAGTTTGTGCGAACAAGGTGATACGGTTCATTCGGTGTTAATGTACTCGACTTTCTCTCTCATATGTCAGTCGGTACGCGGTCACGAGTAGTCATTCCAAACCCATGGTCATCCTTCGAGGACACAACCAATATATCTTCTGTTTGCGGTACGTCAAGTGTGATCACTTTACTTTCGTTCACAACAATTATTCATCATAACCTCACAGCTTGCAAATATTTACTATAATGTTCCTTTTATCACTACTACTAGTATTTTGTTATTTCTATGATTCTTGCTATCCTATATTTAGTTGATATATATTTTTACACATTTTTTTATAAATTTTTTATAAATGCAATCTAATTAAGAATTATTAAAATATTAGTAATAAAGTAGTGATAAATACAGGCAATTTTATATTATTTTTAATTATTCGTTTATTTATATATTTAACTATTAAGACAATGATAGTTAAAAGAATTATTTATCCAATTTCAATTCAATTTTCTAATTAAGTATTTACATCAATAATCACAAAAATATATATTTTACAGAGTTATCCAACAGTTTAATATTTCATTTAAAATCTCTCTTGCATTTTTATCCTTATAAATTTTTGAAAAAATACAGACAGTAGAGAAAACTTTAAACTCAAACTTGTTAAAATAAGTTGTTGAACGAAACTTGACACTGATCTCTTATTTTTGACCCAGACTGTAATAAAGCAAGCATTATTATGACGGTCGAGATCACTAAATTAGAGAATGATAGCTAGTTAAAGACGAAGAAGAAATGAGAGCTCGAGCATTTAAAAAAATTTATTATATATGCTTCAGCAATGAAATTATTCGCTTCATTGAATTCAAGTCCAAGGGAAGTTCTCAATAATTAAGTTGATTTCCAAATGGGTTCTACATTTTAAAATATTTTACTTGGAATATAATCTCAAGACAAAATAAGTTCATTATTTTTTTCAATTTATAATTTTATCAGTATATAATACCTTTATTACAACGTAAATGCATTTAGTTTCGAAAGTAGATAAAGAGGATGAAGGAATCGATCTATGTATTTGTCACGAAGACATTAAATGTACGAATTTATTATTCATAATATAAATTGAAAATGTAAATTTAAGTTGTCTTGTTTTTGATAATTTTTTTTTTTTTGTACAATATCTTTTTTCCGCTTATCTCATTGACGTTTATGATGTTTAAATATTAATAATGAGGCATACATAACCTTGATCGTGACTTACGGCAAAATGAGCATTTTTCGAATCGATTTTACTATTACTTAATA